ACTTTCAGTTTTGAGATTAGTTTCAGTAACGTCACATTTGTTATAATGGAATTTAAGTGATGACACGTCCCATGCTGCTGGTTATGTGGTCCTTTTTTATATCCTTTCTATAAATCAGTTTGGGTCAACGAGAATATGGATTTGGGAGCAATTATCCTTGGCTCCATTGAAATTGTACGCCAGATTCGCATCCCGGTCGATTCAAAAACAACTACTGTACTCCACACTATACAAATTTTTCCAAACGTTTTTAATTAAGTTTGACCCCTCTGTGACTTTGAATATATTTAGTATGCCTAATATTGTTTTTAATTGTGTTTCATTAAACATGTTGTGCTGCAACTTTGCATGACAGGTGCTATAAAAACAGTTATTTTTCAGATGAAAGTATCCTTTTTACATTCAATAAATGATTTAAACTTTAAATGACACAATAACTGTATTGAAAAGCTGTTGTGAGTTGCGACTGTAAAGTGTGATGAATGTGTGGACCAGATCAATGTTGGAGCCTCAGTGCCTAATTATGGATTATACTTAAGGGAAAGAACTGACGTTTTAATTAATCTATGTTTATTCCTGCTGTTTCTTTCAAGCACCTGACTTAATGAAATCCCATAGCTATTAATCTTTTGACATACCTCTGAACTACTTTGTCAGCAAGCCACCGTGAGAGGGCAAACCGAGCTTGACATTTGACTAATTGCAGTCATTCGAGAATGATCGCTACAATAATGTATTGGAAATGCACAGCGGCACAAAATAACGTTCATGCACCCTTATCCGTCTCATGACCCACTTCACCGTAAAAATATAGAAGAAGCTGTTGAACCACAAAAAAAATCTCCCAAAAACTCCACTAATTGGAGCAAGTTGTTTACATGAGCAATTATTGCAATCAGAGAGTCCAGACAGTATTTGACAGAATAGCTGAAGGCGGGGACCAATCCATGGTATAATCAATTATTCAGTGCTGAACCATAAATTAACTTCACCTCATTCCACTCCCTTCTGTTCGTCGTGGATACTCAGAAGAATGACTCTTACCTGTCCTTGGCCCCCTCTTGAATTGCACTGCATTTGATGAACACCTCGGTCATACCTTTCTGGGGGAGAGTGGAGAGATCATTACAGCCGGAGAAGAGAAGTGCATGGGATAGATTGCATAGAGGAGGAGGTGCATGTATGAAAGAGGGACACAGCGAAAGAGAAATAAAGTATGGAGCATATAGACCTCGCAGATGAAAGTAGTGTATACGAGCAATAAGGACAATTCTTTTTAAGGGGCACTTGGGGACTTCTTCTTCTACATTGTACCAGCCGAATCATGTAACTCCTATTGGATGGTTTTACTAAACTGTCAGCAATTCCCTACCTTCCTGGCCTTTATCTGTAAAAATGCCATGAAATGCTGACAGGCTTCCAAACCTGAGCTGCCTGTAAAGAGACTATGTGTCCTGCCACTATGTATCGTGAGAATAAGACGTACAAGCAAAGCACTGCATTTAATATTTATATACCACAGTCCACCTTTAAATGCAAATTCATTTAACAGTGGCATTCTTCACTTGACTTTACGCTCTCCGACCCGTAATTCTGTGACATATTTTGACTGAAAAGTGTTACACGCATTGCTGCAATCTGAGTGATTGATGTTTTGTGTAATTGTGTATTTTTCTGGATTGATTCAATTGTCTGCGGATGTATTCTTTGCTCAGCTGAGCATGTCATTACACACATCATTTGTGTGCAATTCAATGTGGTATACAACAAGGTTAAATCTCTATGGTGGTTCAATTTGGAGGACTTGTCGCATTTCCGCTGCAATTATTTCTGTCTGCCTATTTCCCTCACTCAGAAATGTCTTCGGCTGTGCTTGCTCACGTCATAATTTCAACTGCATCGCCTTTATGTCCTTTTCACTGGGTGTAGTGTTATAAGATTGACGTGATCTTTTCAGTGACTCTTGGTGATTCTTAAGTTTGTGTTTAACAAAGGACTGCAGCAGTTAATATTAGCCGACACAAGAAATGTACCCTTTTACCGGTAATAGGTGGCAAAAGAAGAGTTTACCACATTCAAGTAAGGGCAACAACATTTAAGCTATTTTACCTGTATAGACACAGGTTTCCCCAACACAAACTATCTATATCTGATCACCGCCATGTGTTCTTCTATTACCCCTCTTTGTTTCGCATGACACAATGTTCAATCACAATACCATGCTGTATGTGAAAGCATTCTTTAACTATAATTACTGTGTGCCAAGTCATCTGAAGGCGGTGTTTTGCCCCGCACTCGCAGCCAAAGGCCCTGTCCTTCATCACCTGCGAAGGTCTAATCTTATCTGCGGCCGTTGCTTGGCCCTTCATTAATCACACTCCTGGCAAAATCTAATGGTGTTCGATGGTGGACGTGGCCTTGTCTGGCCATCCCTCAGGTGCTGGGAGTTGGTCTCGCATTGGCTGGGGCACCAATGCCTTCCTGATTCCGTGACCAGCTCTGACCCTTGTCTGAACACCTCGGGGTTACAAGGAGTTCCATGTCCCCCTGAAGTTTGACACATTGTTCCGCTGTGGCTTTGTATCATCTGGATAAGTGAAGTCTTCAAGAAGTGATCTGATCAGTACTGTACATCTTTGCTCAAAGACAAATCATTGACACGTTGAGAGGTGAAATTGTCCTCCGATCTCTTTATAAGGTGGGCAATGGCTAACCTGTGATGTAATGAATGGAAAGCGATGTGTGGTGAGAGGAGATTGCACGTCTGAGGAGGAAGAGGGAGACGGAATATAAATAGTTTGTTCTAGTAGGAGCAGGGTATAAATGGCACAAAGATGAAACAAATCAACCTAAGGTAGCCCTGGCCGCAAATCCATAGTCATCAGTGAGGCTGCATTGAGCTCTCCGCTTCACGGACTCTCACCAATCAGCAGAGAAAACAAAGATCTGTCATCTGTTTTCCTCTCTGCACACTGACTGGGTCAAGGGACAGTGAGAATGAAGTGTGGTAATTATATATGAAGTGTGTGTGTGTATGCAACCGGTTGGTGGGGGGCATATAATTGAGCGCTTTAGTGTCATAATTTACTTTTTATATTGGTTTTGTTCAACACTCTTTGTCAGTCACTCAACGGAGAGTGATTAGCGGAATAATAATGGTCTTATTACATGAATACATGCCCACTCCTGATGTAAAAAACAAAGATGCCGCACACCAACGCACATCTGTTTTGTATGCAGTGGCATCACCAAATGATCTTGCGGGTAAGCAGATGATTTGGATACCTTCCATCCATGTCCTACAAGGAATTGAGGACAAGGCTCTGCCCTACTAGAGATGACTAATGGACCTGTTGGCCAAAGACATTGCTAATGTTTTGTCTAACTATCCAGTCTGTCCCTGAGGATAATGTATTCTGTGGCAGTGCCAGGCACCTCTATATTTAAAGATATTATTTCATTGCTTATATGACATATATAATCTTCGGATTGGAAAAAAGGGAAAGAAATGTAATCCAACTCCCATTGTAATGCCTGGCGGGTGTATAGGCATCACAATAAGGGCTTAGTTTGTTTTCCCGTAATTGGTGCTTTGCCCGTGTGGCGGCAGCGCTTTGTTTGTTTATGCTAATGGTTGTGATGACCTGGTGGTCTCCAATCTAGCAGGGAAATGGCAGCCGATGCTTTGGGGAGTAAGCCATTGATCGCTCTTCAGTGCCTCTTTCTTCATAGGTACTTGGGATTAACAGAGCCAGAGCAAGGCAAAAGGAAAACGTTACAAAAGATTGAAAATCAAAAGAAATCATAAAATTATTTCCGGCATGTATATAACATCAGCTTCAGGCCAGTAGACGCTTGCGTTGCTTCCAGCAAGCTGCCCACTGTAAAAGTGCTCACTTTGCTTTGCTGATATCGGGCTCTTGAGGCACGATGCTGCCTAAACAGCATAGCTATAATTCCCCTAAGTAGTGCACTATGCAATAACTGTTATACATGACCACACAAACATAAACAAAGACGGGGGCTGTTATGGACGGGCTTCTCCAGAGTACCTAATCGTGCATAGAGTGTTGCAGTGTCCAGTTGTGGAGGACTGGGCTCATCCAATGCCACGATGGAAGGAGAGGGACACAGAAATACCAGCACTGGTTGCCATGGTAGCATCAGTCATTTAGTGTTGAATATTAACTTAGAATACATTGTGCCACATTCTCCACAAGGATTGACCTTACTACAATTTACCTACATTCATAAAATATTTAATGGTATTTGCATTACAGCGAAATTGAATGTGGTTTGATTCGAGTAGTTTGCATGGTATTTTAATTAATAATAATATGTTTTGTGTATTAATTTCAATGTATTGCTTTCATCGGTTAGCATATTTCTGCAGACTGACACTTTTATCTACTTATGAAAAATGTGGTGATAATTTTACAGATAGATTAAAGTAGCTTTTGAAAATTGTATTTTAGAGGTAGAAAGATCGCTTTTTTAGCTTTTTCTTTTTTTACTGCATAGGCTACAAAGATTTCCCAGTGTGGTCAACTATCTGCATTACTGTAGAACACATGGCGCCTTTAAATAGGGTCAGTATGTTTGTGAGTAAGATTCCCTGCAGGGCTCTTGACAGCAAACCAAAATGGTTTCAGACTCAAACTTTGTGTGACGCGATTCCATTTATACTAGAGCATGATGATACATTAATCCTTGTAGCAGAGACATTAGGGACTACTTATTCCATCGACACCACCGAAGTTGCAAAGGTCAACTTAAATTTAAAATGAGGAAAGGCGGGAAGTGGCTGGTGGGGAGTGGTACATAACAAAAGATTCTAGAGAAAGACGCCCCTAATGATTCAAATAAAGACGAGAAGGGTCCAACTAAGCCGTTGTCACTGATCAACACCAGTGGTGAAATATTATGATATTTTACTTTAGTGAACCGCAATTGAAAAAAAAAAAAGTTCTGCATTAAAGCAAAATAAATGTATGTGGGTATTTGATTAAGAAGACTTTATTTGATACATATATAATGTATTATTTGTATTATTGTTGTAACTGGCTCCAATAGAGCTTTAATGCTTTTTAATTATTTTCAATACTTTAGGCTGTTTTATGTACTACATACAAATGCATTGCATTTCACATATAGTATATATAAATATCATAAAGTAAAATGTACAATACCTCCCTTGGAAATCAGTTGGAGGACAAAGAAGCACTGTGCAAAATTGTGCTTAGGAACAGTACTTCAATAAATGAATTTAGCTTATTTCCGCCACTGATGAAAAAAAAGGAAATGCAAATAGATGCCATGCTATTATTGTAAAAGTTAGTCCTGAGCCCTGTTGCTTGTTCAGAGGCACAAAAGTCAGCTTCACAGGAACAGCATGGAGTTACTTCTTTATGACTGACATTTTTGCTTTTGAAACGTGAACAAAACATTAGGTAAGTGATGCGGAGCGGTGTCACAAAGCCGTTCCCCGGGGTCGATTATTACTCGGTGGAAAACCTTTTAAACAGAAACACTCTCACTTTCCGCCATAATCTCTCACTCCTGGAACTTTTTTTTTTAAATGTCATATCTTTAGGGCCACAGTACTAATTTCTGTTTCACTCGGTGTTTGTAAATAGGTCCGACTGTGAGTTTTTGTTCACAGATCTCCGGAGAGGGGCATGCATGCTCAGCAGAGAGACCTCTCGCTGCAACCCCCCTCTAACGTATTGATCAGGAATGGCTATTGGCGTCAGCCCTGTGAATAAAGTGCTGCTCTGCTGAGTTCAATTCCCCACTGGGCAACTCAATATAGAGACAAAACCTTTAGTTGGGTTTTTTTTGTAGACCGCCATTAAGCCCGGATCCCAAGTCGAATGACTTCACCTCCAGACAAGCACGAAAAGAAAAAGAAAAAATGGAAATTTTGGTTGACCGCACAAATGACTTTGTCACAAATGATTTTTTTTTTGCCCGCCACTCTTATGTTCGTGCAGTAGACCAAGAAGAGATCACATTTGGGTGATTTCTAACAACCAAGAGGCAGGTGAATAGTTTTGTGTGGCTGTTCGCTCGGACTTTGTTTGTTGACATCAAAAGAGGAAAAGGCTTGACATGTGCGTGCGTCTGGATACATTATCCCTCTGAAAGCAACAGACCCTTTTTGACATTCAAAATAACTGGAACATGAAAAAGACAATGTTTATACAGATTCAAAATACACAATGTGCAGCGTTTTGTATCTACATTATAGGAACAAGCATTTTCTTTTCTTTTTTAGCGTGACCTTTACTATTGTACGAGGAGGGGAAAGGACCTCTTCATACGCCGCTTCCCATTTCGACCACTTTAAATGTTCTTGTAAAAACGATTGCTTTTATAATCTGTCATTTTTTTCCAATTATTACACACAGGGAATCTACTCGGTGTATCTTCCAACATAAGAACAGGCAGTCATCTTTTGCTCTGCCGGGAAGTTTCATCTTAATGATCTGCTTTGCTTCATTTGACGTGTTTTCCCTGAGCATCAGAAGAACTTTAGGTAGTCGATTGATTTCCCATATATCATTTATTTATTTAGTAATTGATTTATTTGTGTATTAATCTATGAGCTATGTATTTAATATTAAATAATGCACAGTCCTCTTCATGAGATGTATGATGAGCCAGAAGCTTTCTCAGTGGTCCTTTGTTTTCTGTTTGGTTGGAATATAGGGCAGTACAGTTTGGGTGCTCTTGTCAGAGACAGTTTGTGTGCTGCTATTTCGTAACAGTTTTTTGCGGCAGCCAGGGTTTAAGAGACCTTTCCTGGGTAGTGTGTGAGCTCCCTTCATCCCCTTCATTGGTCGGGAGACATAGGAGGGGTCCAGACAGTTATGGAGGAGTGAGTGCTCAGAGGAAGAACGTTTGGGGATCACAGAGCAAGACGGGACACCGGCTTCGCTATCGCTATCTGGTGTGGCACAGTCACTCTGGTCTTCCTGTAATTCCTCCTGCTCCTCCTCCTCCTCCTCGTCATCATCACAGCACAATGCGTGGTAGAGAATTTTGTCACTGAAGCGAACTCGTTCTCTCGTGCCCGAGGTGCGGGAAGTCTTGTGGCTGGTCGTGGAGCTACTGGCCTCCTCGCTGGACGAATCTGGAGTAATAATGAGGGGCCCGTTGGGGACGGGCAGCCCGCCGTTCATCTGGGAGTAGACGGAAGCCGTGGACGGGGGCGGGGTGGGGGTCTGCGTCTGGGTGGGGATGGCCCTGCGGCCCAGCTCCGCTCGCAGATCTCCCAGTTGCTCGCCGGGTATGCGAGCGGCAGCGCCGGCAGCCTCCAGGTAGCTGCAGAACTCCCAGCTGTCAGAAAGCACGTCGGCATTGAGGAAGTCCAGCCGAAAGGCGTCTCCTAAACCTCGCTCGCTGCTGGACGTGCTGCTGGCCGTGGCCACGGTCCAGTCATCCGGCTCCAGGTCAAAGTCAAAGTCGGACGTTAGTTTATCGATCTGACCCACCACCTGCAATGGAAAAGGGAGAGCATGAGAGAGAGCGAACTGATGAGATGTTGTCGAGAACACACGTTTTAGGCCAGACAGAGATTTCATTTCAGATCCAGATATTTGTGTGTTTATTTTTAACGGCGTGGCTCGATAGACGGGGCAGTCTTTCTTTTGGTGGGGCGGTCAGTAACTTTGGTCTACACTGAGATATCGACAACAACTAGACCTCAAAGATACACACTATGTGTTGTGGTTTGTTTACAGGAAAACTCCCCCCAGCCCCTTAAATGTTTAAGTGGGGTTCAATATTACTCATATTTTGGTTCTTTCAGAAGCATTGCAAATGCAAACTGATCTTACGTCACTTTGTAGTATGTAAATAGATTCACTCTAATGCCAAAAGTGTGGAAAAAAAGCTCACTTTAATCTAAATCTCTAACAGCTTACCAGACATTACATGCAACTTCCAGATGCTTGAAGTCGCACTGATTTCTCCCCTACGGGCAAGTTTAACAAAAGCTAAGATGTATTCACAGCTGTTAATAGATCTGTGTTTGCCTTTGCAGTTTGCCATTACAATACTTTTCATCCATAAATCCTTAAATGATTGCACTTTTTTTTTTTTACCAAGATCTCCCGTGGACAAATGTTTTAAATCAGCTTCACGCTACATCTGGACAAAATTAGACCTCTCCTTGAATGAGGTTTTAGCAGTAAAGACGTGTCGCTACTCATCAAAGCGTCTTCTGCCGCTCTGAGAGAAGGAATAAAGAATGCTCCTCGACGAGCGAGGAAAGCTTTACATCTTCAATCTAGGGGATTGTTAACTTTGCCTTTATGTTGCTCTTCAGCTACCAGGAAGACAACGACACACAGTTACAACTATACCGCACAAACACTTAACCCAGAACATTCCATCCACGTACATTGATGTCATTTTAATTCCAGTGCTATTGGAATGTCAATGTCAAATTTTAAATAATAACAATAATACATAGACATGTATGCAATAAAATGTTTAAACTCAATATGAACCGCAATGCTTCCGCCGTCAGCGGTGAGTGTTTGGATGAATAGAAAGCACTTCAGCTGAATTCACACTGGTTTGCTTACAACATCAAAAATCCGGGCCCTCAATACTTGACATTTCAGCACCTTTACTCAGCATGTTCTGCTCTGCACAACAATCTTTTGTAAAATAAAATCACTCACCGTCCACGCGGCTCGTAAATCATACATTTCCCTAAACCATTCAGCAATTAATCCCAGTGCTTTGAGCTCTCCAAAAGTTATTTTAGAAACCTACTCATGAGTTTGCGACATAATTACAGCTGAATAGCATAGAGAGTGTAATTAGACTTTTAAGATTTGTGGAACATAATCCTTTTTTTTCTTTACGCTTGTAATTATTTGCTGTGTTTGCTCCTTCCTTGCTCGTATGACTACAAATGAGTATGTTCTCTCTGGCTGTAGAAACCCCCCCAACTAAAATCATTCTATGCACAACGGTTCAAGATCAATTAAGAGTCTCACAATGTTAATACAAAGACACACTGATAATGTTCCCACCAAAATCTCAAAAGATCCTCAGTGCAAACGTGCCAACTGACATCTGTGAGCTTGATGATCGTGAACAATGTCTCATGATTTAAATTGTGATATTAAATTTGCTCACTGACTCCTTGAATAAAAAATGAATAAGAAATAAAACGTCAACTTACATTACCAGCTGCACATTTAATTGCTAAAAACTACAAAAGAAGACTAGATGCTGCTACCCCCTCCCTCCTGCCTTTCACACAACTCTCTCTGTCTTTAAATATTCATATCCGGGTGCATACGTCTACATGAATAGCGTTGGCTCATCCGTCAATGACCTTCTCTACAGACCTGCCAGTTGTGGCGTCGTAAACGTCATAAGTACCTGGAGCGTGCCTCTCCGATGGCTGACTGCCCGTAGGGAATTCGGCTGTGTGAATCCTCTTATCCTTGAATTACTTCTTACGTCTTTTTACTCAAGACCATGTTTATGTAAGACCTAGGAGCGAGGAAGCAAACTAAAGACTTCTGCCAACTGTATTTCACAAGCTCGCTATGACACCAACACAGACCGTTTGGCTGCTGAGCTCATATCGCAGAGAGTTATTTAAAATATATCTAATCTATATTTTTAGTCAGAACAATTTAAACTAACTGTATCGTGACTTTTTAAGGGGGTGGTTAATAATAATAATTTTTGTTAATGCCGAAACTCAGCTGGATGTTGCTATTGTTTCCCTGCAATGGATTCATAACCAATTTTTTTCTTTTATTTTACAAAGCATTCCCAACCGCTAAAAGGTAATCTGCGTCCGCTTCCACCGCTGCTTAGCCCGACCCCTGCCTGCGGTATGGAAGCTCATTTAGCTTGATAAGTGGCTCTGGTTGAAGGCTTCTGCCCAATCTCTCGAGGTCACAACGCAGCACACGCTCTTTGCAGCAACAATGAACTGTAGTCTTTTTTTCTTCCAGTCAGAGAATGTGTTATGAGGGAGCTGTAGAGTGAATTAGTGGAGCTGATTGCCTTAGCACAAAGGACGAATGAACACATTGGGAAGAAGTCATTAATAATATGCACATCATGTTTTATGAACGTACTAGAGGTACGTAATATGACTTTAACATGAATATATATACAGTTTTTTTTTACAAAGGAACCCCTTACACACTACCTGAAAATCTGCTAAGAAAGTGTTGATACTGCGATTATTCTTCGGTTGGTTCTGCAGTACAGCTATGACATAACACAACACAAGTTAAACACAAAAAGCCTGATGCTTTTCGTATTTGATAACCAGCTCATGTTGAGCCTCTGTGACAACAAACAACTTCTAACAATGCCTGAATTGTAGGTCTATATGTAAAATACTTAAATACTTGACTTGTTTGGTTTCGTTTCATGCAGCTTGAGGCCGTGATAAACCTCAGGAGTTGGGCTGTGCATCCCCCGTGGACTTTATGGCTCTACAAAGTTTATGGTGCAGTGATGGCACATCCCTGTGACTGAAAAGACTCCATTTGCAACACAGTTAAGCAGAGGTGAATTGTAAAGCATTGTGGATATAAGTGCAGGGGATTTGGGTTTATCTTAGTCTTTAATTTTCTCTCAATGCATCCGCTGACAACTTAACTCACTTTCTTTACTGTAAGTGGTGTTTAGTGGCAGCTACTAAAAACTATAATGATGAATATAGCGATATCTATGATTTTTTGTCTGACTTACAAGCTTGCAAATTATAGCAATAAACAATTTTCTTTTTCCTATGTCAATAATGTTTTAGAACACAATAAAAGCCGTATTAACCAGCCAACACAAAGCACTTTGGGTCATGTTCGTACAGTCGGCACGGAGCAATGAGCTGTAGTGGTACCTTATTTATTTTTTATTTTTCATTGCACACTGTCAGCCTGCAACCGCAAGTCAACTGCACCTGATCAACGGCAAGTCATTTTAGAGCTCTCTAATGTGCTTTAACAGAGGCAGCATCAGGCGAGGGTTTATTCCATCAACACCTGTCTGGGATGATTGGGCCGGGGTATTTGAGGGTCACAGTGGAAGAGGGCACTTGGAGCCTCGTCTGTTAAAGAATGTTCGAGTGATGGAAAAGACACCTCAGAAGATCCTCTCTTCAGGCGGAGGGGTAATTTGGGGGAAATATATTCCATAGTGTCCACTATCATTACAAGAGTCCTTCTCTCTAATATTCAACTCCACCTGGTATCATGATTTATTTATCGTGAGTAGCTACCCGTTTCTCTCCTTCAAGCGAGCGCCTGTTCTCTATGAATGCTAATTAAAAAAATGGACTAGAATATAAGTGCTGGAATAACTTATTCCATTGCGGACATTTAACGTTTGCAGTCTGGGGCTAAAATGAGAAGATGAGAACATGTGGGCTTGAAATTGTCTTCGGTGACGAGGGGAATACCTACCACATGTTCTGGACACTCTGTTGATAATCAACAACGCATTTTATGCCTACTTCAGGCGTATTTGTTTCGCAATGTGCGCGTAAAAGCGTGGCGAGGTATGTACAAGCCGCACTGAGAAGCTGGAAAAGGCAAATCGCGCTTTTCCTTGCCGTGCACAGGCTTTCACGGGAGGGTCAAGGGGAAAGCGGGAGTTCCCCATAAAGAGATGGGAGGGGATGCATAAACTGCGCCTAATTACATATTGGCCGGTATGTACAGAAACCGCCCGTGGAAATTCTCTGCCTTCTAAAAGCAGGTGTGAACCAGAAGGCAGGTTTCCTAGTTACATAGGCCAAGGAGACGAGCTGAAATCGAAGATGACATTGCATCTCCGACTCAGCGTTCATTCCAGCAGTGGTTGAACTACATTACAACTATTGACATCAGGCAGACACATTTAAAACACATGTAGCATCAGCAGTGGAAATATGGCAGTCTGCACTCGGCCGTGTCACCGCTAAAATACCACACGCTTTGCTACAGCGCAGTAGTCAATACATACATACATACATTTCCCAACACTGACACCCAAGTAACTGAATATTTGTTTTTTGCTGTTTTGACTTTGGCCGATCCACGATAGAAAGAGAGAAGGAAGTCCATTCAATCGCACCTTAATGCGAATAGCTCATTTGTTTTGATGTGTATTGGTGGCTCTCTGTTTGAAACATATTTTGTTATGGAAGATTCCCATCAATTAAGTCTTAAGAAAGTTATGTAAAAGTGCATCTTTAACATGTTTGTCCTAAATCTGTCCATCTTCCATATTCTTGTATTTATCATCAAATAAAATCACTGTGAAATAGGGCATCTTTAGCAGTGCAGTTTCCACATATGTAAAAAAATACATCAGGTATGGGTTACCAAAATAAATGAGACATAACACCCTCACTGGGTTCATTTGAAATGCACGCTGTATGAGTGAATCTTGGATCGCTTCATTACGCTGTGTTCAAGTGGCCTCTCTCTCCATCTGTTTCTGTGCCACCCGTTCTTCTGGGACTCAT